TTTTTTTTCAGTAGTTATTAGTTGAGTTATACTAGTAGTAATTTTTGATACTTCATGTTGGTGATTTTGGTCACATAAACAAAAATAGAGGTAAGAGGTCCACTAATAGTGTTCTGTCACGGAAATTTTCATATTTTAAATACCATCATTTACTACATTGTAGCCTTCAGTACCTACTTATACATCTTAAAATATAATCCTGAGGGTAATAAATCTAAGCCATGGTAAGATGGTATTTTAAAAACCATAAACCACAATTCACTATTCACTGCGTTTTACGCTTATCGGGGCAATGCATTTTATCTGTGTACCTCAGCAACCCGGGTCCCGTAGGCCCGCTGGTTGTATTTATGTTATTAAATAAGAGTAATTTTAATAGTAAAAATATTTGTTTAAAGTATGTTATTAATTTTAGAAAATAATAATTGCGTGTTACATAATGATTAATTTTTTCAATTAGCACAAATTAGTTCAGTAATCGACTAATCGAATGTTCAATACATACATTTCTCTCGCATAAATCCCACATTTGTTACTGTTTTATACCTTTATTTTTCAGACAAATGTAGCATCTTTTCCTGTTGCCACATGTATCATTTCTTCACTTTTTCATTGTTGAACCTAACGCGAGGCGGGTTTGGCAGGTCCGTTTTGCCCTAGAATGTGCCGATTATGTTAAAGTGTAAATCTTTGCCAATAAAATTAATATTTTTACAACCCTCGGTACAATAATTTATCGTGATATATTCTCAGAAATCGTGAAACGAGATTAAAATAAAATGAGTTTTAACAAAAATCTGAAAATTTAAGGTTGCCCTCTGATGTTTCCGGCCTGCCAGGCAGCCTTTGATCCTATAAGGGGTGTAAGTACCTTTCTAAAAAATTGTACTTATTTTGCCTTAAACGGAACAAGCAATTCTTCCTAAAACCTGCCGCACCGGGATAGACGATTACCGGACATGGTCATAAAAACATCGTAAGCCGATATTGAAGAATAATAATTTATGACAGGTTGCCGACAACAGACCTTCTGCACAGAATAATTATTTCCCGTATTCTTTTGAAATATTAATTTTAATGCTGGAGATAATTACACTAGTTTACAAGGTTTTATATCCAAAGACAAAAATAGTTGAATCTAAAGGATTTGGGTTCGGGAAATTCAAATCTGAAAGCAGAAAAAATCCATCACGTCAGGTTTTTGAGATATTTATATAAACATACCTCGGGTTTTTTTTCTTTTATACAACTCTTATAACTTTTTTATTTTTAAATATATATGAACATATAGTTCTTTAAGCAAATTTGTATCATTTTAAAAGACCATTTAGGTAAATAAATAACATGAGTGTCAATTTTTCAAGCTACTAGATTGTCATCAATGTGTTATTTAAAATTTTTCAAGTATTGATTTTAGAATAATTGGTTGCTTTTGACTTATCTACGGGAAGTGATAATAAAAATGTGAGGTTGACCTCACAAAGATCTTTTAAAATGATACAAATTAGCTCAAAGAAATAAAGGTTTATCTATAAGAATAAAGAAGTTACAGGGGTTGTATCAAATAAAAGCAACACCCAGTATAAACATTATGACTGAAAATTAAAAATGGTTAACACTGACGTTCTTTTATTGGCAGTACTGTCAGTTTCCCTTATAATAGACCAACAGTAACACATTTTCGTCCCAAAAACCTTTATACCTTCATTTTAAGCATATTTGAACAGGTCTTCCCGCTTTAGGTACTATAATTTTACCACAAATGTAACAAAACTGATTTGCACTTACTTTCCACGATTTCGAAGACATTTTTTATGCGACAATTGTGCATTAACATGAATCAGTTTAACACAAACGTGAAGGTAAAGCAAAGTTCATTATTTTGGATTTATGAAAAAACCTGACGTGATAAGGATTATCCGTTTTTGGATTTGTTATCAGTAAGTAATTTAGAAGTAAATTTTTTTTTTTTATTTTTGGATACGAAAAAAAGTTTAAATTTGTAAACTAGTGTTATTAGATCTACTCAAACATAATTTGGACGCTGTAATATGGGAATAAAAACAAAAAAAAATTCTTTTTAAGCGTACGTAATAAATATTGCTCAATTTGCGACACATCAAACAGCGAAGCGATGGCCTATTTCCAGGAAAAAAGAAAAGATTTTTCAGCCTTGAATAACTATGCTACAGTAAAATGTTTATTTTTTAAATTTAATACCACAATCCCTTCTTTTGGACCCGTGGAACGGGTGTTTAGTAGCGGAACCCAAATTCTGACACCGAGAAGAAATAATTTAGGTGACGTTCGAAATGTTGTTAATTTTAAAAAAATCACTAAACAATACATAAAAAAATACACAAACATGTTTTCAGTTATTTTATTCGCCAAACCTTCAAAAAGTATCTGTTTTCTTGTATCTGTATCTAGATTCTGGATACATTTCGAAAAAATCGAAAACAATCTGTATCTAGATACTTTTAAAAGTATCTGTCCCCAACACTGAATAGTGAATATGTGCCTGTATTCCATATGTGCTTTGTTTTATGTGATATATGAATTCAGTCAGACTCCGAATTTGTACGTCTTGTTAGGATATTTGATAGGGCTGCTTGCTCAAATCCAAAGAGTATTAATGGCTCCTGGGCTTCGCACATGTCGTTGTAGATCCCTTCGGTTCCTAGGCTTTGAATTGGTGTGAATGTCAATTTTGTCTTGGTGTCCATTTCTAAGACGGATGATATGTAACCGGTCCCCGGATTAGGACTAAAGCTGCTTGATCATTGATATGATATATATTTTCAAGGGTAGTTCTACGTGTAAATTTTTTCCTTACTTTAACTAACGTTACCTTATCAAACATATGGTTAGATGGGTACTCCGTAGCATCTCCTTTGCTTTTGGTGTGGTAGGGATGACTGGGTCCTGTTTCTTCATTTAGGTTGAGAGCTCGTCGTGGTTTCATGACTGGTCAACTTTCCCACTCTCGAAGTTCTCCATTGTGACTTTCCTTTCATCCTCGGGGATTTCGTTCTCCAGTCGTTTTGGGCGTGGACGATTGTCAGGAAGCTCAATCGTTGATGCCTCGTACTCATCTTCCTGTTTTGGTATTTCGGATTCTTTCGCGGGGTCTGATTCGGGGGCGGTGTAATCTTGTAGAACCAATTTGGAAATACGTGTTCTTCCATCAACACGACTGTTGTGTCGATGTCGCTGTGTGGGATCTTGATCTAACGTGCCCTCTTGGTCCATTTCAGCCTCGTTCTTATCCCGAGATCGGTTTCACCTTCAGGGCTGGAGGTAACTGCAATCAGGGTCTCCTTCTTTCCTCCGATTTCCTTGAAGACCTAACCGAACTCACCGGTGCTGTCTCGATAGAGTCCGCTCCACTTCGGGTAGAATCTTGTCGCCAGATTCCGTCCCCTGTCCACGTTGTTTTTCTTTTCTTTTTGTTTCCTGTAATTGGGTGCTTACCCGTTGGAAATAAACATTATTGTTATTATTAATATTATTATAACATAGGTCCTCCACTTTGTTGAATATGTAAAAATGATAACAGCGACAGTGTTGCACCGTTGCCTCAGAGAGAGGAAACAACGTCAGACGCTGTCTACATAAGCACCCACGAATTTCCGCTCCGGGTCACTCCGGCTTTCGAGCTAGTTTAACTCGGAGGCAATTCTACTCTTGCAATCCAAGTCTTGTTGAGATTTAAACATCGCTTTCCGAGGCGATCGTGTTGAGATCGGCCATCCGCTCGTTCCACAAGACTTTCGCTCTGTGGCCTGCCGGACTGAAGCCACCTGAGACAGTCCGTAGCAGCATCAGGTCGTTCAGAAAAGTTCAATTTCAGCATGAAAACTGTGGATGCTTATATTTTATAATTTTTTATGTTTAGAGAATTTTATTTCAAGAAAACAGGAAAACGTGTTGTTTGTCATTCTACTGATGTATTAATCAAATATTCAAACACATTACTTTACTGAAACTTTGTTAATGATATATTTCTTGTACTCAGTGTTTTGCTTCCATTATATCTAAAATAGTAATGTTCAAAAAGTACACCTGCTGATCTTTGAGAATTCAAATATGCTTCAAAATGTAATCTTTGAAAAATGTATATTATTTATATATAACATCTAAAATGGTTCTGAGTGTACAATCAAATATCTACATCTGATTTATCTGTCATTAGTGGTTCAGAATGAAGTCACTCGGCGGGGACATCGATCCAAACCTTCCTGATCAGGGGTTCCAACATAGAGCGTAGTCTTTTTTAACACGTAGTCTGTTGGGACTCACTTTCCACATATTACGTCATTGTAGTTATCTGAAATCCCCCTAGTTGTACAATTTGGAATTCACTACCCCCGCCATAGCCCCTCAGAAGGGCCACCATCACGGTCAAAGTGGAGAAAACACTTCTACGTCCATATCGTTTCCAGAAAACCGATTTATGTCCTAACTTTGTCCGTCAACATAATCATGTTCTGTTGGATTCTATCAACGGTCCAGACCCCTCTGTCACAATTTTCGCCACACTCATGTGTTATAATATATAAGACTTACAGGCAGACATTGAGAATTCTCTCAGTGCCCAAATATATCGCATTTGTCGAAGATTTTGGGCGTCAAATATTCTTGGGGCCAAGTTTATTTCAATACAACACATTTTATGTTCCACTCAACCAGATTATAGTTTTTATCACACAACCGGTGCTGTCACGTCTATTGCCTATTTTATCAGCGACTGCCTTACATTTTTTTTTTCGACAGCTGAAATATGTGCGTTAAGCAGGGGTTCATGACTAAAACTGAAGTATTTCCTATTAGAAAAAGCAACTCGAGTATCTAAAATAAAACTTTTTACACAAGATTTAATAAAAGTACTATAGTTCTGTAAGATTTAATTTTCTTCGCTTTTATTTTACTTTTTGTTTTGCATTGTAAGTTAAAATTATAACCTTCGTACTTTCTTTAAATGAAACACATAACCGCTCAATTCCGTTTATTACAGTATTAACAATACAATAATAACTCGAACACTATCATAAGTTTTTCGTACATACTTCGAAAGTCTACCTCTAAAGAACAACAGCGCTAAACTACACGGATTATTTGCAACATGAAACAAGTCTAGAAGACGCAGTATACAGTATATTGGTGCCAACGGGGTAACCGTTGACAGTAAATTAGGCCTAAAATTCCACCCCCTCCCTCAATCCCAAACACAGTACAGCAGCAACCCCTCGTACGTGTACCGCCTTGGTTAATTGCTTTTCGGTTTCCTTCTAGTCTCTTGCACTGCCGCCACCAAACTCTTGACTGCTTCTTCGTGTCCTTCGAAACTATCTGCTTTCCTCAAAGGCATAGGGTTAGGGGCCGACAACTTATGGCATATGTGATGGCGGCGCTTGGGAGGAAAAGTTTCCCAGCTCCTCTGCTTTTGCGCAATCATATTCTCGCGTTTGTTGATCACCAAAACCATCATCTTATCGTCGGCACCTTCAAAGCTCGATCTTCTGCTAGAGGTGCTTAACGAGTCCGCCGAATCATGAAGCGGGTAGAAGACGTTGTCTTCGCCATCACTGTAAGGGTAAACTTTAGGCTTTCTTTGTTTAGCGGGTGGTTTTGCTTTGTTTTTACATTTGGGGCTGCCGGGGGTGGAGCGCGTTTCTTTATGGACTAGAGCTTTGACGCTCTGGCTTGTGGTAGCGTCGGAAATTCTCTGGTAGTCCGATTCAGTGCGTTTCTTCACTTCGCTATCAGACTTGCTGCAATTGATCTTATCACAACTTTTGCCAATCTTCTTGTACATGATCCGCTTATTAGTACCGAGTTTGTTTATGGAATCTAGATCCGTTTTGCTTAATTTTAATTCGGTTTTTGACAGTTTTCGTTCCGTTTCAGGATCGGATTTTGACTGAGATGTTGCGGATTGTCTACGACAGACCATGTCATGGAGTTTTTCTTTAAGTTGGGTTTCGAGGCGCTCAATGTTCATTTGATGGGTGCTTTGAAGAAACGATTTTTTCGGTTTTATAGGGGTACTTAAAGGCTTGTCGGATTGGCCAGCAGATTTGCTTCTTTCGCGTTCTTGAATGTTAGGACGGACTTTTTCGAAGAGCTGGCCCAAAACTCTGGATCTGGAGCGCGGAATTTTACCTAAACTGGCGTCGGCTTGCTGTAAAACACCTAAGAAAGAGAGATGTTAAGAAAAGGAAATATAGCTTGTCCTAATCTACACAAAAGGAACTCTAAAAACTGCCAGCGAAAGTATACATCAAGGAACAGACACAAAGATAGGAGAGCAATTAAAAAAGCTGCTGCAGCATAGAAAATTTATTTCTTCACTTCATTTTTCGACTATAGTGTATCCGAATTGCCAAAATAAGAATTTGAAAGAAATTTTGATTTCATAGTCCACCCAGGTATTCGTCTCTCTCCGAAAAGTTACCCTGCACAACGTCAAAAAAATTCAACAAAAAATATAGCATACAAAAAAGTAAAAAACTACAAAAACCACAAAAAAAATTAAACTAGGTCACATACAAGGATACTCACTAAAATGCTCCAACAGGGCTTGCATCTGCTTGCTCTGCTCGGCAGCCGAGTCACCCTGGGTCGACTGCTGAGCCGGAGTCAAATTCCTTATATAAGGCTCCAACTGTCCAGCCAGCTGACTCAAATGCTTCAGCTCATTTCTCAAAGTCATAACGTCAGCTCTCTGGCAACTGAACACTTCCTGTTCAACCCTCAACCGCCACAACTGCTCCTCCCAGGAAGCGTCAAACGTCGTAGCCATCCTGTCTAATTCCTGTTGCTGCCTTTCCAGGCTTTGATCCAAGTGAACACATTCTCGTATGAGTAGGTCGTAGCGGGCAACGAGTGGAGGTGATTGCGCTTTCCTCAAAGCTGTAATATCGCGATGCAAGTCTCCAACTTTCTCTTTGACGGCATTAAATTGCTGGTTGAGCTCACGAATCTGCGATTCGAAAGATCGGCAGTGTGCTGAAAAGGAGGTGTCGCTGTCGAGGAGCTTGTTTTTGAGGGCAGTTTGCTGCTTCTTGGTGGCTGGAGGGGCGCTGTCGTACACTCTAGATGCTGGAAATGGTTGAATTTATTATAGACACAATTTTGTCCTTTACTATTACTTTGTTTAGTTGGAGTAATGAAGGATTAAAAATGGTGGATGCGCCGGGTTAAGACAGTGAACCTTCGAAAATCCGAAAAAGAAAAGCATTTGAAGCTTCCACGAAGATTTTTCAAAGTCACCAGACAGCATCAACAATTAACCACGAATAATTGAAGAGCTCTGAAAGTTAGCTAAAGAAAACCCTGTAATGTTACTAAATAAAAATATTTTTTCGAGGTCAACAGAAGAAAATCATTCCAACATTTTCCAAGAAGAATTTTAAAAGCACTCTAAAAACTTTACCATGTACCAGCTGAAGTTGGTTAATAATAGTTGCCTAATAGGCAAAAATTCAGGTCGACTTAGAATTAATGACAAATTGTAAAACAGAAGGACACGGAGGGTGACAAAAGATGAAGTCTTTACTTCTAGATTTAAGGTATATGAACGAATAAAACGTGGATGGCGAAATCTTGAACATTATATTTTTAAGAATAGAAGAAATAATAAACCATTTGGACACTCCAGAAAGGTTTTTCAAAGTTGGTAAACGAAAAACATCAAATACGGACCACGAAGACGTCAAAACTAGTAGGAGAAGATCCTTTGAAAGAGAATTGTTTCAACACTATCACAAAAAATATCATATTTAAAACCACAAGTAACGCGACCATCTGAGGTTCTTTAAGAATGGCCACCTGACAAACAACGACAGATGAAGCATTTACCCTTCAACTTGAGATGCATCAACTGGGCGAACACGGATGATGGAAACTTCAACATTTAAAAATTTGAAGAACATTAGAACAAATGATTGATATCCTTATAAGGAGCAAAAAACCGAGAACAAATACAAACAACATAAAATATGTTGTTGCCGGAGAGTGTGTGGCAGCGACCTGATTTCGCGGTTAAATAATAGTTAATTAAGCTAGTGTAGGATTTTACTTAAGTTTTAGAATAATTAATAAATTAGCGCCTTGTCAAGATAGGTCCGCCTGCTGAGGCCGCTTTCCAGCCTGTAGACGTTTCTATACACTCATAAGCAAACTTTCATACAATTCAATTTTGAAACATTTTTTGTAATCCAGGCTCAGGTGGAATCGGTATTATGGGTTGCCTATTTTAAAAACACAAATGGGTCATCTTAGCTGAATAACCCTGTATATAAGGGCTGGCAAAATCCCGTCCGGGATCACTTGTCAGCTAGCATTGTCAGTGCAGGCTTCGGCGGCTAACGACTAGGGGAAAATAAATCGATTTGTACTCTTGTCCGAGAGTTTTATTTAAACAAATAAATTCTCCAGAAATAAAATACGCAGTCAGGTCTTTTCAGAACTTCCTTAACCAAGGGTCATCCAGCTTCCTGGTTTGAGCCGGTGGCTCGACAAGTGAGCCCCTGTCAACTCGCGACGTCGTGACGCCCTACCCCGTAACAATATTGAGCCAACACCGAAGTCAAACTTGTCAAAAATAACCAGGCTCATACTTAGATCTGCGGCGGCCGTAGTCCTATATCAAAACATTTTAACTACCTGCCAGTGATTATGGATAGAGTCGTATCCGCAACAGATGAAGAGAATCCAGACTATGTTGAAGGAAAAATTGCGACATCCACCACTACCATCCCTCGAGGCTGGGGGACGTACTAATCAGAAACCGCCATCCCCATAAAATAATCGCTTAGCGTTATTACAATCCCGGCAATGCAAACTGTAAGCCAGCAGCGAGGATACGCACCTTGTTTTTCATGCATTCACAAATTTTCACAAAAACAGTACCGTCACTGTTGGACCATTAACGCCCTATATGTAGCCATCAAAACCAACTATTATTTTCGCCGGCCTGGTATGAACACTTATCTCTAGACGTTCTTCCGTTCCCCCTCGACTTTTTATGGTCCTCTCAATTAATATACCGCGACTCAAAAAACCTCTCCGAACAGCCCTCTGCTCTGTTATTGCTCGTTTCTCTTAATTTAGTTTAACATTTGTGTTTATTGGTATTTATTGTTCTCTTTAATCATTTCATAACCTTAATTAAGAATAAGCTACTCTAACGAGCTGCCCGTTGGTTATATCTCACTTGCTTTAATTTACCCTTTTCACTTTTCGAAGCGCTCCTTCACAGATCTAGGACCTAAGGGGCAGCTTTTGCGGTGGCCACCGGCAAAACCTCGGACATCGACATTACTACAAACCTCGGACACTAAGTGAATAAGCAAATTACCTTTCAAAGAATAGGCCAAATACCATTTACACTAATGCTTCTAGAAACATTCTCGAAGGCAGCAGAAGACAACACTTTAAAAAAATGATGCCCGAGTGTTCTATCACATCTTACTCATTGGAAAAGAAAGACCACTTGAACTAAACCTTCTAGGAAGACTATTCGAATGCAGCAAAAGATCAACCAGACCCACCAAAAGTACTTTTTGAAACAAACAACAGACTATTTGGTAACTGCAAAAAGATTTTCCAAAAGCATTTTTCAAAGCCACTCGAAGAGAACCATGCAAAAATCATAAAGACCAGCAAAGTCATTTAAAGAGACTTGAGAGTGGCCACCTCAAAAATGGCCAAGAGAAAACAAGCAGAGAGCATCAGAGATAGAAACTTGAAAATGGAAGACGACGGATACGCTGAGAACAAACATTTTCCTCGAGACTTGAAGGATAAAACTTAATCTATAGTGGTGAACGATCAAAGCAGATCGTTACTTTCCCTGCAAGAAAATACTAAATACACATTTACGTATTTGCCTGACACAAAGGAGGTCCTCCAAATTCTTAAAATATGTGATGCATACTCATCGGTTATTAGTACACCACATAAGTGAGTTTATATGAAATTTGTCAAAGTTTCGGGTAAGTTCAGTACCTTATTATCTGTCTGAGGATGCGTTACCCAGTCCATCCTGAAGCCCTACTAACTAAGACAACTCGAGAATATGAGATCTACTCAAAAGGACTCCCTTAGCATTTATTAACCTACTCGTGTAACTAAGGAACCTGAGTGTTTTGTAGAGGCTCTATTGTCATGCTAAGACCTGAGAGTCTATAGTCTACATTCTTCACTGACACGAATGAAAATTCAAATCCAACTGTGTACTGTGGTGACCGAATTTAAATCAAAATTTTCGCGCTGAAATTAATTAACAGCGGCGCGAAATCACATTTGAATAATTTGAATTTGAGAAAGAAAAAAAAAGAATTCAAATCATAAATCGTTAAACATAGGCAACCAGGTGCACGGTAACGCTTGCTGGATAGTGGGACAATTAGTAGCGCTAGGGATTTTAGTTAGAGGATTGGTGGTTAGACAGAGGGCGGCATGGCGGAGCGTCAGTCTGGATATGTTTTTGTGAATGTAAACACGTGGTAAGAGCTAGTTTAAATTAGTTGGTTTGGTGGTAGACAAAAAGGGAGGAAAACGACACAGCTTTCCCCCAACACGTGTAGCTAATTCTTGCGGCCTTTTAATCGAAAAAAGGTGCGGACTTTCGTTCAACGCGGAACACGTGCGGTAAATTTGTTTTATTGTTTGTAAATTCACCAATCAAGCTAGTTTTTCTTAATCGTCAACTAGTGCTAACACAGTTTAATAATCAGGATTATTTAAATAAACCACTTGCTAACATCTTTGTTTAATTACGAATGAAGTTTCTGGATGCATAAACGTAAGTGTTACATTATAACACGTCATAATTCTTCACACAAGATTGCTAATAGTTCGTTTACGGCAGTTAAATTAACAAATTCATACTGCGAACTGGCGGGGGGTCAAAAAATGTCTTCCCTTAGGTGGTTATCATCGTTATTATCATCGTTATCATGATCACACCACTGAGGCATGTCCTCACAACGCTAAAGATTGACTATATCATCGAGGCTTGTCCTCAAACGCTAAAGATTGACTACATCAGCGAGGCTTGTCCTCACAACGCTAAAGATTGATTACTTCATCGAGGCATGTCCTTACGACGCTACAGATTCATTACTTCATCGAGGCATATCCTCGCAACGCTAAAATATACATGATCGAGGTATTTCCTCGCAACAATAAAATAACATCAGCGACACGCTTTTTCCTCGCAATGATGATTGGATATTTTTGTGTCTGTTTATTATGTGCTTTGTTGGGGTAACCAGTTCGCGATATGCTAAACTCTCAAAGTAAATTGTTTTTTTTTTAAGTAACCAATCATGATATAGTGTGACGTAATGTAAACTCATTGTTTGAACCGTTGATAAAGTGTAGCAAATATTAATCTCATGTAAATTGTGTTAACTTTGCAATTTTTCACCTCATACATTATTTCTCTAATCTCACAATTTTAACCTCAGTAATTTTCTTTGTTGTATAATTTTAATTGAACGTAAATTTCATGCTCTACAGCTTTAACCTCACATAATATTTCGACTGGCACAAGTTTATTTCTCACCAGATCTTTTGTTTGTCATAAATCTTTGCTAAGTTTTGTTTGTAAATATTTTGTTGACGACTGTTTCCATCGTACAAATTATTTGATGTCCAATTAGCCAAATACACTGACGTCATCCGAGGTCATCAAGATGGCAGCGTTTGACAACTAGCCGGCTTCCTCATAAGAGTCAATGCTAATATTTTCGGAATTCATTTAAATTTGAGAGTGTGTCAACTGTGTTTTTATAGTTTGGTAAGTTTGTTACAGTTTCTAGACTGTGTAGATATCTGTAAAACGCACCATAACGTTTGAATATGCTTAAAAAATAATGTTTTCCAATGTGATGTACAAGTCAACTTCGCTGCATCTTATATTATTTGCTTTGCAAATTAATTCTTTGTTAATGTACATCATTGTTTTTTTAAATAGACTAGCATCTTAATATTATAATATTTTGTATTTTAGGAGAAAATCCCTAAATTTTGTGCTGTTGTGGGTTGCGCGAATCGAAGCACCAGAAATGCGGACAAATTTTATTTTCCTT